CCAGGAGCGATGGGCGTCCAGGCTGATGTAGACGCCGGGCCGGTTGCGCTCCGCACAGCCCTCGCCCCAGCTGATGATGCCGGCCAGCAGCCAGGCGCCCTCCACCTCGCACATGAGCGGGCCTCCGGAGTCGCCCTGCGGAGAGGAGGGCAGGTTAGGGACCCACCCACGTGAGGCAGCGGGTGGGCACCGCCCAGGGTCCGACACAGCGACGGCAGGCGGTTCCCTTTGTGGGGAGAAGGCAGTTATCCATCCTGAGGCTGAGGCACCTGAACTCCACCCAGGCAGGGAGGGCGGGTAGGACGTGCCTCCTGGGCTCACTTCTGGTGACAAACACCCTGTGTGAGACCTCCTCCCTCCTCGGTGAGGCAGGGACTATTGTAACTTGTTGCACAGATGGGGAACTGAGGCTCAGAAAGAAGACATGACTTGCCCAAGTCGGCAACTACGGGCAGCAGGGTAGGAACTGCAACCAGGCCTTACCATGTCCAAGGCCAGGCATTGGGCACTATCCTGCCATGCCCCACCCGGGACAGCTCCCTGAGAGGGCGGGCTGGACACCCGAGGTGCCCATTCTATGTTGGATGTGTGAACAGATGGGTGAGTGACCGAACCCCCTGGAGGCGCGTTCTGCAAGCATCTAGGGGACTGCAGGCCACAGCTGGTTCTGGGAGAGGCCCAGCCAGTCAGGAGGAATCTCAGGGAAGAAAGTGGGGTGCTCACCAGACAGGCATCGCGCTGCCCCTCCAGGTAGCCTGCGCACAACATGTCCTCGGTAATGGCTTCCTGCCCAGCTCCCCGCCAGTACAGGCGACCGCAGATTTCCGAGTCGATGATGGGAACCTTCAGCTTCTGTAGGGTCTGAGGGTGGGGCAGGGGCACTGGGAGCGGGGAAGAGAGAGTCAGGCCTGGGAAGTTCCCCGGGTTGCCTCATCCCCTTTGGCAGCGCTTCTCAAAGGCTAATGGGTCACCTCTGTCAGGCTCTCCAAAGAGGGCTGCGGAAAACCCGAATTCCAGGGCTCCACCTCCAGACCTACTGAATGGGATGTGAGCGTGCAGCTTTACGCTCTGAACTGTCAAACAAGGTCTCTGATGCCCACAGATGGGTAGACCCAGTGGTCCAGGTTTGTCCTGTCTCAGGCACTGCTTTACCCAGCATGGGGACTGCGACAGGTGAAGTGTTCAATAAATGAGCACTAGGTGTTGAATGTCATGAAAACTTGAGGAATTTCCTGACAGCCTGGAGGTGGGAGGAATTGTAGACACACCCTCCCCCCCCCCAACACACACATGCCCCCACAGCCCATAGTTCAGTTCTCACAGAAGCCCCTAAGGACCATGGGGAGGCTGACACCTGTCAGTGGGATCTCCAGATTCCACAAATGGTGTCCTTTCTCTTAGTTCTTCTGGAATCTGGTTAAAGTCCTATTTTTCTGATCTTTTGTCCTTTTTTAGTCTCTCTCTCTCTCTCTCATGTCTTTTCCTGCCTCACTGCCTCTTACCTTATCTCATCTGCTTTGTGTTTCTAGATGGTGTTTTCCAAACCTCCAAACTCAGTTTGCAATTATTACATTTTACAGTCATGGAGACTGTATTTCCTCCTGGGAATTTTTCCTGCAATTACAGCATGCTGCCACCAGGGATGCTGTTCCCATGTTGGAATCTTGGGGTTGTTTTCATATTCCTGGCATTCAGCTGGGGCCCACACATGCCTCCTTCCAGCCATTCCTAGATCACTTAATATCTTTGTTGCTCTGGCTCAGAACACAGCGGAAGATACCTTTCATTAAAAATGACCGGGAACTGTCTACCTAGGCTTCCGTGATGCCACACCTTTGGGTGGTAGTCCACCGTTTTGTCTGTCATGCTATGCCACTGGCCTCTGAGCTTTGCTGCCAGGGCACCTGTGTCTCTTAGCTTCCACCACCCTCTATCCGTATCCTCCTTATCTGTCCCCAACCACATGGTGGAGAAGAGACGCACCTCCATCACGGACACTCCCCCAGCCTGCAATCCAGCAGTTGGTGTTCGGAGGGAGATGGATGGAGGAATCAGGCAGGCAGATGGGCAGGATTCGCTCAGAATACTCGATGGAGTGCTCAAGGCGCACCAGGGCGATGTCTGCACGGGAGCCCTCCTTCCAGGAGTACACGGGGTGGGGCAGCGCCCAGGCAATGCCCACCTCCTGGGACCTGGGGCCAGGATTCTCCAGCTGCCAGGCGCCCAGCAGCACCGTGAACTGGGATGGCTTGTTCAGAGTGCTGGGAGGAAGAGGGAAGGGGGTGGGGTCAGGCAGGAACCACTGATGGCCAGGAAGGGTCCGGGAAGGGTGTTTCGGGGAAGAGCAAGCACAAGAGGTCCCCACAAAAGCAGCAACAGAGCCTTCTGGGAGGAGCAGGGGGACCCAGACTGAACCGGCGACGGCAGCCGTGGCTGTGTGAGGAGCCCGGGTGTGGGGCAGAAAGGAAGCTGGGGACTCGAGCGGAGGAGACTGGCTGTCATACCCCTTGAAGCAGTGGGCGGCGGTGACCACCCAGCGCCTGGTGAGGAGGGAGCCCGCACAGTGGTGGGTCCCATTCTTCTGGATGCTCACGATCCAGGGCCACTCGGCGTCGGCGCTGTCCTCACCACCCACAATCCGGTTCAGCTGCTGCGGCTTCCCACAGGCTGGGGAGGCTGGCGGAGGAGGGTCCAGTTTTCTGTCACCCCCTCAGCATGGTCCTCAGCCCCTTCCCCCTGCCCATCTCCAGAGGTCTGTGCTCCACTGCCTCTCCCTCTGCCCTCTGCCTGCACGTACCCCCTCCTCAGCTCTGTCTTCCCCTGACCTGCTCTTCCTCTTCCTCTGCCCTCCCTTCTGGCTGGCCTTTCCCCTCCACGTAGCTCTCAGCCTTGCCCACAACTCTATCCTTTTACCTCCTTGGCCATTTGCCCTTCTGGACTCCAGCTGCACTTGGCCCTCTCTCCTCCAGTCCCCAGTCTCTGCTCTGCCCTCTGGGTCTCCTTTCCTGCCCACTCTCTAATCAAACCTCTGCCTCCTTCTGACCACTCCCCCTCCCCCGCAGACAGACACACAGACACTGCCCTCCCCCTCAGACACCCTCCATGCCCCCTCCCCTCAGGGCGGTTCCTACTCACCAGGTGTCTTGGCAGCATTGAGGGTGTCTGAGGACAAGAGAAGGAAAGGGTCAGGCCAGTTGAGAGGAGGCCCCCAAGTGCCCAGTGGAGAGAATGGCCCCCCAGCGTCCAGCAGAGTGGACCTCCCCCCAGGCCCAGTGACCCTTTCCAGTCTCTCATTCCCAGGTCCCTCCAGGCCTTCCCAGGTGGGGCAGTGCCTGGAGCCTGGAGAGACCGGAGGGAGCCCTCATGCTTTCATTGTGAGCTGAGCCTTGCACATCCCATCAGCTTCCTCCAGCTCACGCTCAGGATTCATCCCACCTGCTGGGGGGGAGAAGCTACCCCTGGGACACCTCTCACGGAGAGTGGGCACACACCTGACCCTCTCGGGCTTCCTCCCTCAGACCTAAGTCAGCAACCGGAGACTCCCTTCACCTCCAACCCCAAGCCCCAGGCCTGGATGCTGCTGCCCCAAAAGATGGAAGAAACAGGAGGGAGGGAGCCCTGACCAGTGTTGTTCAGTGGTTAGAGTGTCAGCCCAAGCACCAAAGGGTCAAGGGTTTGATTCTCCATCAAGGGCAGGTACCTGGGTTGCAGGTTTGATCCCTGGCCCAGGCACATGCAGGAGGCAACCAATCGATGGGCCTCTCTCACATCTATGTTTCTCTCCCCCCCAACACACACACACCTCCCTCCCTCTCTTCCACTCTCTCTAAAAATCAATGGGAAAAATATCCTCCAGTGGGAATTAACAACAACAAAAAAATTAAAACTAAAGAAACAAGAGAGAGGGAGATGAAGACAATAATGAATTTGGTCAACAATAACCACCAGAGATGGAGCATATGAAACCTCTTAGTACCTACCTGACCTGCAGTGTCTCATTTAATCCTTGAGCATCATGGAGCAGTCAATAACAGAGAGAGAGAGGGAGAGTGGGGAGTAGGGGGGTGGGGGCAGGGGAGAGAGCAAAGGAGGAGACTGGATTCCGGCAGGCCCTGGAAGGAAGGTGGCTGAGTCTAGAGGGAGGAGGAGGTGATCCTGAAGGGGCAGAGAGGGAGGTAGAGAGGGAGGGGCAGCAGGTCGTCTGGACTCACCGGTAGAAGCCAGAAGCAGCAGGGAGGTTAAAATCCTGAGGCAGCCCCCACCCAGGGCTGGGGGGGTTCTGGACACAAACATGTCCAGTGGGGGTGGGGCCACGGCCTGGCGAGCTGTGCCGTGCCGGCCACAGGAGTGTTCAGAGTTCCCTGCAGGTCACCCCTGGTTTTATCCTCGGAGGCGGAATGCTGTCGGACCTGTCCCCCCAGTGAATGGCTCAGTCCCTGCCACTCGGGGCTATAGGTCACCAGAAGGGGTGGGGCTGTGAGGAGGAAATGAGCCTTAACGGGAACTGGGGGGCTCTGGCCGAGACCCCTGCCTCTGGACTGGGCCAGTGGACTCGGGCTCTGGATTTGGGGCTCAGGACACCAGCTCCAGCTGTGGGCCCAGTATCTGGCCTCAGGAGGGCAGGCTAGGGAACCTGGACCATGGCCTTGACACTGACAATGGAGTTGGGGGGTGCAGAGAAAGGTGCTCATAGCTTGAAAGGCAGGGGGTCCAGGTGGGGAAAGGCAGGTGCTCAGACCCAGGAAGCTCACGTATGAGGTCTTGGAGAGGCCCCAGGGCTTTGGGGAGATGGGGGGGCAGCCAAGGGGATTGCCCAAAGGCTCAGCTGGCCACTGCCTCCAGGGGCCGGCTGACCTGACTCAGCCAGGGAACTAGCCCAGCCCGGGGCTCTGGGATCCCGTTAACCCACTTACTGGAAAGCCATGAATCAGGCCCCCAGTGGCTGCCAGTTCTGGGGCGATCTTCCTGTGGGCCCTGTCACTCAGAAGCCCTAGGACTCACCCTACTCACCCTTCACCTGCACTCCCGGGAAGCTTGGGTGGGCGGGGCCAGCCAGGTGCTCTGTGGTTATGGCTTAGGCGGCTGCCTGGAAAGGGCTGGGGGACAGGGTCTCCCTCACTCTGCCCCACCCCTGAGCTCCTGAATCCGAGACCCCCAGCCTGAGGGCAGGTCTTCCCCGACTCAGTGCCCACACTCGACTCCCCACCCCAAGCAGGAGGAGCAGGCTGCTTCCTCCTCTGAAACAGCCAGCATCTCTGTCCCTTCTTTCACTTGGTCAACACACCTCAAGCTGGGCCCTTGCTACGCCTAGGGAGCGGGCAAGATGAACAATAGCAGCTGGCAGTGTTCAGTGCGCCAGGCGTCACCTCATTTTATCCTCAAATTCCCTTGTTATTATCCCATCCTGCTGATGGGGAAACTGAGGCCACTTAGAAGGGTTAGTGACGTGCCCCAGGTCCCCCAGCTGGCGAGTGGTGGAGCTTGGAGTTGAAACCTGAGCCTAAGACAGGCAACTGGACTAGACTCACTGGAGCCTGGGGACCTCAGCCCAGTGAATGGATACTGGTCACCAGGGCTCATCTGTGAGCGTGGGTGGGGGCCTCGGGAGCCCAGAGGAGGCACCTGACTCCCCTCAGGGGGCCAGTGAAGAAGGGCCTTGAAACTGAGGCCTGGAGAGGAAGTTGAAGGTGGCCCAGCAGAGGCAGAACAGAGGGAGTGAGTGCAGGGTGACTCTGGGGCTGGGCTGCAGAGGGACAGGGTGCTGGGAAGGGGCTGGGGGCTGCTACACCAGATCCTCAGCTCACCCCGGCTGAATCAACGTGTTCTCCCCCAGAGCCTGCCCCAGGGGTGCCCACCTCCTCGTGCTGGGCGGGGGGGGGGGGGGGGGGCTGGGGGGGGGGGGGTGTTCAGTGGTGGCAGGGTCCTGGGATCCCCTAGAGACTCTCAGTGCTGAAAAGGATCACGCTGTGTTTACTGGGCCTGCTTCCACTGGGGGGCAGGAGGCAACTCAGGTTAAGCTCCAGGGGCGAGCCCCTGTCCCACCTCCCCCAAACACAAGCCATAGGAGGGGCGCAGGAGCCTCGAACAGCCCCCAGGGTTCAAAGGCTGGGGGAGGAGGGACTCCAGGAAAAGCCCTCACCGAGTGGCTAAGGCGAGGGGCCGTTTCTATGGGGCCCCTCAGCAGCCAAGCAGACATTTCCTAGGTGGGGGAGGGTGCCCCCTCCTCCCCTGCTCACTCTTCTGGGTCCACCTCTGCAGCCTATGGCTAGCCCTGCCCCTCAGACTCCCCCAACCCACTCCCTTCCTGAAAATGAGGCGATTGGCCTCCCCAGCTATACTCGACACACATTTATTGGGCGCCTGCTGTATGCCAGCCCTTATGCTGGGCACCAGGACACAATGGTGATAAGACACAGGTCCTATCTTCAGGCAACACACATCGCCCCGGGGATGGATGGGAGGCAGGCGAACAAGTCATGACAGTGAGGTGTTGTGGGGGTGGGCACAGAGGCCCTGGGCCTGGGGCGGGAGGGTCAGGAAAGCGTCGCAGTGGGCATGGACTCCGGAGGTCCACCTAAAGTTGGGTGCAGTAGGGACAGTGTGAGGAAGCTCCCCACGGGTCCTCAGATTCTAGGGCCGTGCCTGGTACATGTCAAGCCTCAACGGATGTTTGTTGAATGAATAAATGAGCACGGGAGAGGTGAGTCTGGAGGATCCCACTGGGGACTGGCGCTCCAGCCTCCTGTCTCTCCCGTTTTCTCTTTGTTCCAGGTTTTCTCGCCTTTCATGACATCTGGGTCACTGCCCAGGTGACCCAAGAGGCAGGCATGTACCTCAAGATGTTTCTGTCCTAGAGATGGGGTGGCTGGGAAAAGCGCCCTAAGGAGCAGGGCCCAGTGGGAGTGGGCAGCGGAGGAAGTCCTGAGCAGCCAGTGAAGACTTCCGCGCACAAGTCCTGGGCAAGGGCCCCAGAGACCAGCTACGCGGTTCCCAGGAACTGGAGACCCCGGCAGGACTCAACAGTCACTCAACAAGGGGCCTCCGTCTGCTGGACCCACACGAGGCATCCCAGCTGGGCCTGAGGAGGATGGGCTGCCCATCCTGCCACCCACTGCCAAGCCGGCTCAGGGCCGTCGATGAGTCTAAACAAGGTGTAGATGACAGACATGGCTGCAGAGGCCTGACATGAAACAGCAGCTGGAACTGGCAGGGCTCAGCCCAGAGAAGTGACTCACCAGCAGCATTTCAGACGTGGGCACCGGGGTCAGGGCAGAGATATGAACAGGGGTATTCATTCATCATCAGCCAAAACCTACTGAGCACCTATTGCATGCCAGGCACTGCCCTGTGAGCTGGAGACGCAGCCGTGAACAAACCCCGGATGGTCCTGCCCTCGTGGCAGAGACGCTGGAGGAAACAGAATCAACACAGTAAATCATTTCGTCTGACAGATGATAAGGTTCACGGGGAAAACCAAGACAGGGAGGGGTTAGCACAGGAACAGGGGGGCAATGGGAGGTGGGGATGGGGGGTAGGGCGTGGCCATCTTAAATCAGGAGCCCCGTGCAGTGCTCACGTTCGAACTGAGATTTGTAGGAGAGGGGGTGAGAGTTGTGGGTGCCATCACTGGCCCTCCAGCCCCAGGAATGGCTCGGGCGGGCGGGACTGGCAGATCTGAGCCTTGGCAAAGGAGAGCACAGGGGCCGAGGGGCCCTGGCTCTGCCCGGGGAAGGGGAGTCCTCCCAGATGCTCTGAGCCCACTCCGAACTCCAGGTAAGTTGCTTGGCCTCAAGGAGCCCCCTTTCCTCGTGGTTCTAGCTGTGTGTTCTGAGACCAGCACTGCAAGCCAGGTGTGGGATCCGACCTTCCAGGGGGTTTTGTTAGACCTGCAGTGCTGTTTGTTTTTCTAAATTGGGCAAATCTATCTTCTTCTTTTTTTTAAATCTGAATTTTGACTAACGCTGCTGTGAACATGAGTGTACAAGTATCTGCCGGAATCCTTGCTCAAACAGATATCTGGCCCCGAACGGGTGACTCACTTGGTTGGCGCGTCATCCTGTACACCAGAAAGGTTGGGGTCCAATTCCTGGTCAGGGCACATATCTGGATTTTGGGTTCAATCCCTGGTCAGAGTACATACTCGGAGGCATCCAATTGATGTTTCTCTCCCTCCCTCCCTCCTCCCTCTTCTTCTTTCTCTAAAAATCAATGAAAACATATCCTCTGGTGAGGATTTAAACAAATAAACAAGAACAACAACAACAACGGAGATTTGTAAACCCATGTTCATAGCAGCATTATTCATAATAGCCGAAAAGTGCAAACAACCCAAGTGTCCATTGATAGATGAATGGATAAACAAAACGTGGTTCATCCATACAATTGAATATTATTCAGCCATAAAAAGGGACGAGGTACGAACACGTGCTACAACATCGACAAACCTCGTGGACACTATGCCCAATGAAAGGAACCAGACACAAAGAACAAACGCTGCATGATTCCACTTATGTGAGGCAGTCCCTGGCGTCCTCTAACTCCTAAAGACAGTAAGTAGATGAGAGGTCAGGAGAGTCTGGGGAGGGGAAAGAGGGTGTTTCATGGGGACAGAGTTTCGGTTTGGGAAAGTGAAAAAGTTCTGGAGATGAAGGTGGTGATGGTTGCACGACATTGTGAATATACTTAATGCTACTCAACTGTACACTTTTTAAAAATATTTTTTATTGATATTTTACAGAGAGGAAAGGAGAGGGATTTAGAAACATCGATGGTGAGAGAGAAACTGCCTCCTGCATACTCCCTCCTGGGGATGTGCCCGCAACCAAGGTACATGTCCTTGACTGGAATAGAACCTGGGACCCTTCAGTCCGCAGGCCAACGCTCTATCCCAAACCGGTCAGGGCATGAACTGTACACTTAAAATGGTTAAAATTATAAGTCTTGTGTACATTGTCCTAAAACGAACAATATCTGAATGTCCACTTTTTCAGGAACATTGGAAGCTGTGGCAACATAGCATTTCCTACTCTTGGAGGGCAGGGCCTGGGACACAACAGATTCTCCATCCCCCGCTCAGGTAGCTCAAGGTGAGCTCCCAGAGTGAGCAGCGCTCTCCGAACGAGCCCGGTAAGCAGCAGCTCCCTTCTCCAACCTGGGCCTCAGTTTACCCATCTGGGAAGAGGATCCATCAGCACGGCGGTGCCCATCCTGACCACATGATTCCTACTCTTGGAGGGCAGGGCCTGGGACACAACAGATTCTCCATCCCCCGCTCAGGTAGCTCAAGGTGAGCTCCCAGAGTGAGCAGCGCTCTCCGAACGAGCCCGGTAAGCAGCAGCTCCCTTCTCCAACCTGGGCCTCAGTTTACCCATCTGGGAAGAGGATCCATCAGCACGGCGGTGCCCATCCTGACCACATGACACAGGGCTGCTCAGGTGTGAGGGTTGGCAGGCAGCCTTGGAGGGCTGGGTGCTGATTGAGCAATGGGCTGGGCTGTGCCATCTGCAGACAAGGCTTTCTGGGGCACTAATGGTTTTGAGAAACCTGGCCTGGTTGGTGCCGTGGACACTGGAGGACACTGCTCGCTGGCGGGGATTTCATCACCTCCCCATGGGGATGTCCTTCCTCCCATCTGACCACACTCCTGAACTGTCCTGGAAATCAGATGTTGCTCGGGACTCCCTGCCTCTTGGAGACTTGGGTTGAACTTGGCTCCAACCCCATCCCAGGTCCCATATCCCTCTCAGAACCCCCCTTCCCCCACCCTCCCCGGCTCCTGTGCTCCAGACTTCACACTTACCTCCATCTCCGCCCAGGTTCCTCATTTTCCGTTTTGTCCTGGCCCCAAAGCTCTGACCCTTCTCCCCTCCACAAGAATCCCATCCTCACATTGCACGTACATCCAATCCTTTCCCCATCTTCTGGCTCTCCGACCCTGGGCTGGTGGTCAGGCACTCCCCACTCCCACGTCCCCACCTAAAATTCTGGGGAATAAAAATTTTCCCATCTTATAACATCATTGCCTATCCTCTTGCCATTTCTTTCTTTATTTATTTTTTAAATATATTTTATTGATTTTTTACAGAGAGGAAGGGAGAGAGATAGAGAGTTAGAAACATTGATGAGAGAGGAACATCGACCAGCTGCCTCCTGCACATATCCTACTGGGGATGTGCGCAACCCCGCTGTCCACTGAGCCAAACCGGTTTCGGCAATTGCCATTTCTTTAAAATGGGAGATGAATTGGACAAAAAACCTTACAGCTATGGATGAAGACAGTGGCGGTGGGTAAGGGCATGGGGTGGGGTGGGAACCGGGTGGAGGGGAGCTATGGGGGGAAAAAGAGGAACATCTGTAATAATCTGAACAATAATCTGAAGATTTATAAAAAATAAATAAAATAAAATAAAAAGGGAGATGAGCACCGCCTCCTTGCCCAGCATTCCATTCTCTAGCCTTAGGGATACCTCCTCCCGGTCCCTTTCTCGACCCCAAACTTTCTAAAAGGCAGAGCTCCTACCTCGGGAGCCCTCAGATTCTTTGAGAGCTGGACTTCTGAGGTCCAGGTGTTAATTATGTGACACCAGGTATCTTCCTTCTGACTAGTGTCTTCCTGGAATACAGAGCACTGCTAGTTCTTGTGGTCTACTAAGACCTTCAGGCCTTTTTTGTTCTTTTAGATGCAATGATTCCTGCTTCTCCATCTCTTACTCGTCTATCTCTTTCTCTATGGCAGGTTTCTATGGCAGCTTCCTCAGCTTTCCTTTCACGGCTTAGAGTACTCTCCTAGGTTTTGTCCACAACCTTTTCCTCCTTCAGAAAAGTTGGCTGTGTATTGGAATTCTTAGAGTTAATCCCATTTCCCCTACTGTTTTCATGGAAAAATACCCCATCAGCCTGGATTGAGAATGTTTTTAGGGAGAAAGATGGTCAGTCCTCCTACATACCGTATTTGCCGGCGTATAAGACGACTGGGCGTATAAGACGACCCCCTAACATTTCCACTCAAAATACAGAGTTTGTTATATACTCGCCGTATAAGACTACCCCCTCTTCCGCACACCTTCCACACACCAAATAAAAGGTAAAACAATATCAGATTTGATTTTAACATTTTAATTTA